AAATAAAATATTTTAATTATGCTTAATAATATATAGAGAGAGAGAAACAGCAGTAACGAAAAAAAAAAACCAATGATGGACGCGCATTACTACACTCAGTAGGAGAGAAACTGAGAAACCTACACGACAACGAGAGGTGTTTATTTTGTATACGTGTATTATCATATTAAATACAACAAACGAACACAAACGTATTTGCCTGTCTATTGCAAACAAATAATATGATTTGGTTATCGAAAGCAATATTTATAGTAGTGTTTGCAGCACTAATACTTGATGTTGCCGGTAGAAGACACCATCATACGCACAACGAAGGTAGCTATGAAGAAATCGACACTAACGATGTTTATGAATGGTTATGCCGAAATAATCCATTAGCTGCATACATAAACTTCTGCCAGACTACTACAACACCTCACAGCACTATAGCATCAACGACAGACGATACATCTACATCAAGTTCTTCTACAACTACATTCGAATTAGAAACAACTACTCCTAGTACTGAAGAGACTACCAGCAGTCCAACATCTCTTGAACGTGCTCATTGGTGTCATCTTCTTAATGGCACATATTTACCACTTGGTCATACATTCATGTACACAGCTTGTGCATTGTGTCAATGTACATCAACACGTGCTGTTCTTTGCACTACACTTCGTTGTATGAATACATATTGTATTGATAATTCTGTACCAAGTGCTAGACCAGGACAATGTTGTGCACAATGTTCATATGAAGAAAACTCAACTTCATGCGAATATAATGGTATTACATTTCCACATGGTTAGTTTTAAAGTTGATTTAATAATAATTATTAATTTATATATATATATATCTACTATATAGGTACAATCGTCAAAAGTACAAAAAATAGTGCACGATGCTGGTGTCAACTAGGAACTATTGAATGTCGTAGATCTGCAGTTTCTATTTTTGCAGCATTAGATTTATGGGGTAGTGGTACAGCAATTTATGTTATTATAGTATTCGTATTAATTGTATTACTTGTTGGTACATTACTTTGCTGTACTTGCACAGCTTTTTATTATTATTATTATCAACGTAATCAACATCTTGTGCAACAAGTTTATGATCAATATTGGAATAATGCTGGATGGCAACCAATGGGTGAAGAAGGATATGTTGATGGTAATGTCGATGAAAAACAAGTAGAAGCTGAACAAATCCAGCATGATAATGATTATCCAACTGGTAATTCAGAAGAATATATTCCACCACCATATGCACTTTACAATGGTTCTTATGTAGCTGACGAAAATGCAAAAGATCAAAAACATATCTGAAAAAAAAAACCTTTGAAGGTCATTCGACTTGAACAAGACAATCAAATAATAATAATAAATTTCTTTTTTTTTTCCTTTTTAATTTGTTTTATTTATTTATTTATTTTTTCTTCTTTCCATCAAAGCAGTTAGAAATCTGTGATAAGGATAATAATCATTGTATATGCTTAGACATTTTCTTTTTTTTTCTCATTAACATAAAATATTTTTCTATAATAATAACAGAGCTTTCAATAGTTTCTTCTCATATTTTAAGAAATAAATTCAAGAAAATCCATATTTATTTATTTATTTCAGTGAAATTAATAACTATGTAATAATTAACAAATTACGAAATACTCTCATGTGATATAAAAATGTATATAAAACTTCTATTAAATGGTATGTTACGGATTGATCAAGTTCGATATAAATATAATAAAAAAAAACGCAATTTTTCTGGCTCATGATATAAATGCGTAAAATGAGCTTTTACTTAAATGCACTCTGTGGAATCCGTTGACGATCACTACTGATGTGTGGGCTTGTTAAAAGTGAATTTCGTTTCGCTAATAAATATAACAGAGATGGCTTTATTGAATTTAACTATTGACTCCCTATAGTCATTCTCGAATAACTATTGATAAAGTAAAGATTGGAATAGAGAATGTTAGTGTTAGTGATAACAGTAAAAAATTTATTAATGAAAAAAAAAAAGAAAAATTACAATATAAATTTTAACTCTACAATACATCTGACATTGATCGATTTTTCTTCATTATGGCTACGAGAAAGTCTTGAAAGGATTTGGTTTCATGATTTACTGTTCAAGAGTGATGGTCGCTTCAATAAAATTTTTACTTAAAACATGACATAGTCAAAAAATTCAAAACAAATAATTTCGAGCTGTGTATTATTCCAATACATCCATTTGATAGTGATTAGAGAAATCCAAAGGCTTCAAAGAAAAAAGAACATATCTTTTTCAAGGTTTTCAATATTTAAAAACATACACATTGATCTAACCTATTTGACAATTGAATATCTCAAAAAAAAAAAAACATATATTTATTTTCGTTGAAACTTTAATGACTATCAAATTAACCTATAGAAATAATTTTAGCTCGAAATTTTTCAGAAATGATTCACTGTTAGTAAAAACTTCATTAAAACAATCATAACTTTTTACTAGTACCTTATGAATCCAAATCCTTTGAAACTTTTTTTTTTTCTAGTTTTCATTGACACTTATTCATAGTCTTAATGCAAAGCCGAATGACAACCGATAGTTGTATTTGTATCCTTGTGAGTACTGCACTCAACAGAAATTATAATTAATGTACGTTATCAGATTATTTTGATCTATTATTATTAGCCATAGTTTAGTATTTGTAGATGATTAATGAGTTATGAGTCAGTGCTTGATTATTTGTGGTTTCATGGTTATGCATTATTTCATATAAATATATATCTTTTTTGCTTCTATACTAAAGTTTCATTAATGTTTTCATCTATGCTGCAGATGAACGCATACTTGATCAAAGTCAATAATTTCAGATTTAATATAAAACTTGAGTTTCTATTTGCAAAGAACAGATTGAAGTATTATCAGAAGAGCATCGAATGAGTCATTGTAAGAAGACTCTTCGAATTTATAAGCTTCTTCTTAATTGAACAACGGACATGATTGAAAAATGAATCATGCAAAATTATACTGAGAAGATCAAAAGTTTTCAAGATGTATAAAAAATAAAATTTATTCTACAAATCATCTTGATTATGTTTCGTTCGAAAGTAACATTAGTAATGTATATTACGTAATAAAAACATTTGTAATCTGCTTTGAATTAATTAAAACCTATGAAAATATCTGTTTGATGTGTTCCATCATACTAACGTATTCGAAACTATGTTTGCTTTACTAGAAAATTCTTATAATGTGATAAGAACCATTTAATCAAAATAAATCGGATTTCACTTTTTCCTTCAATAACATTAGTTCAGTGAATTCAAAACTTAATGACCTTCGAAAAGTACGTTTATTTAATGAACATGCTGTGAATATTGTATAAAGTTGATTATCATCTGGTTACCTTGATTTACTCATGCGTAGACAAAACTTCGACATAGTAAGACGATAGTTTTCTTTTTCTATTTTTCAATAGAAATTTGGAACAAAATATTATTCTCTTGAAGGTTTTCATAATAAAATATTAATATATATGAGATATATGAATTAAATTGATTATATGTTCTGCAAAAATAACAATTTGAAACTGCAAAATATATTGTTTCCTAAATAATTCAATGTGATCTATGATAGAAAAAAAAACAATTTTTGACTACATTGCATAAAAGACTCGTCCGGAAATTGTCATTTATGCCTGAAGGATTAAATTTTCTGTATGTTTCAAAAGCAAAAAGAAACAAAATATAGTTTTGTAGCTAAAAAAAAATCTTTCAATTCAAAAAGTTTCAATAAAAATACATGAGCAAGAACATTGATAACCAGGACTACTGTAAAGATAGATATTCTGGGAGACTTTTATGATGTCGATGGTGCTTACAATAAAGAGATTTTACTGTACTATGAATGGACTCATATATAACAAATAAAGGAAGAGTTGTTAAAAGGTCTTAATATATATTGACAAGTTGTAGAGAATCTTAAGAGAAATAAAGTCTATTTAGATTTCTCAACAAAAGAACACATACTATATTTCACACTTCTATTGAAGCCCATCGTTTTAGTCCCGATATTGAATCCGATCGGATGTAGATCCGAAAGTTTTGGACTCCACAAGCTGTAACTTCTGCCCTCATACATATTCATTTTTTTCCGATATTGATACCTTACGAATAAATTAAAACAACCAAAAAAATGAGATCGAATGACTTCGACTTATTCGAGATAAAAAGAAAAAAACGGTTAAGACAAAAAGGTTGAAGAAAGTTTATTTTGAGAATTTCGGCCAGTACGATTAAGATATTTTATTAAATGTGCAAAAAAAGGTAGGAGATGTATAAGTACAGCAACTAGAAATAAAAGGATGTCGTTGTGATTGAAGATTCAGATCCGCATTTCAAACTCACACACTACTCATTAAGAACCATCCCGCCAGCCATGTGTCAAAACTGTGAAATAAAAACTCTTTCCTAAATATAAATGTGAGAGCAAAAATGATCGTCATTTTGTATTTTTTATTTTATTTTAGCAATTATTAAACTGTGCACAAACTGAGAAGAATTTCTATTTCTCAGTTCTTGAACATCCTATATCATTAATGACATCTGTAACATTTTTTCCTGTCAGCCAAATCAATACATGTTTGAAACAGACAATTGTAAATTTCATTCATTGGAAAGCTACCTGCATGAGACATCTTATGAAGGTTTTTTTTTTTAAAAGACAGTCATCCTTATAATTCATAATTTTGCTACATTGAAATTATACCAAAATCTAACAAGTCGAATAATTTATTTCTAGAAAATAATTTTCATGATCATAAATATGACAGTAGATTTGACAATAGTGGATACGTACATGATCAAATAAACGAGCTTATTATTCGGATTGTACTAGAGAACGATGACATCTATCTCTAATTGTAATATGTTTTTAGAGTGGAGGCAGCTGCTAGACAGCAATACAAAACGATAAGGAACAGTTATGGTAAGTTGACATAAACGTTTTATCATTTGTATACAACAATCATGTCGAATCTTCGAAGTACCGGACATTTACCATTAAAAACACCCATGACTAATAAATGGAAATCTCAGTAATTTATTCTATTAGATTTATTTCTTTGATTTACAATATTTCTTTTAGAGCACCAAGTAGTGATATACTTGAAAGACAAACAAGAGCACTAGAAGAAAGTTTAAATAAATTAAAATTAGCTATGCATCCTGATAAAACAAAATCCACGTATATATATTTATTTGTTAAATAGAAAAATTTTTTTCATATATATTTATTCAATAGTACTGAAGCAAATGTTTCTATTTGGGATAAAGGTAAAACAGGACCATTATCACAATATGCAAGTCATGTTTTACGTGATGAACCAAAACGAGTATTCGATGTAAATTAACAAAACAAAAAAAATTGTTTTTTGTTTTTCTAAGTCATAATATAAAATAATTTTAGGCTAATAAACCAACAAGAATTCGAGTTTTAGGCGATGAACCACCAGGTATAATTTGATTTTCTATTAAATATAATCATATTAACTTAATTATTTTCTAGCTACAGTTGTTCGACCATCTCTTGTAGCTAATTTATTTACTGTTAAACCAACAGCGGCAACAACAACAACAAATAAGTTTATTAAATGTGGTCAATGTGAAAAAGATGAAGCTAAAATGGTAAATAAAATAATGAGTAATTGAAAAGTTTTTAGATAAGATTTTTGTTTAGTTTTGAACGATTATAAACTATTGTCAATAAGTCGAAAGTTAGAAATTAAGGCCAATATTTTGTACGTTTAGGAATTTTTCTTTAGTTTTTGCTCGGAAGTAGTAAAATAATCTTTAAAAAGAGTAAAAAAGAAAAAGTTCATTTAAACGGGAAATTTTTCGTATTTTCATTATTGTAATTCGAAACTGAAAGCGGTGAAGATCTTGATTCATATATTACCTTGTAGATGATAAGCTACCTTGAAAACTGCTTACGTAAAATTACCTTTTTTGTTTTTCGTAAGTACTCATTTTTGATAAATCAACAACCATCTTACTTCGAAAGAAGTCTACTCCAAGGTTTTCGATTAGAGGGAGCGAGGTGGGACTCTTTCTCATAAAATGTCGAATTTTCTACATACCTTTCTCTGACAGAGAGAATTTAAATTTAGGAAAATACACTTCGAAATATAGTCCATTTTATGATATAAATACTTGTTCACATCCTCAAAGGGATTGGAAAATCATTCGCCTAAAAAATTAGTGTGAAAATCGTTATGTCACTAAGAAAGTTGAATAATTTTCACGTTTAACTTTTGAGAAAAAAACTATATTTTTTTCTACCGTGCCGTCTAAAAGGCTAGTTCTCGTAAAATGAATAATCCATCTATATTCAACCTTCAAACTTCTCCAAATTTTGTCAAAATATTCTTTTATCTACTGCGTCTAATCTCTGTTAGCGTAGGAAATCCTGAACCACAAAGTAAGCTTCCAAAAACTTGAGATTTTTCTTAAAAATACTTTTCCGAGTCATATATCCAATCATTTCTCAGTGAAGAAACTAGTTTCCGAGCAAGAAAGTCACATGTCCGTCTGTCATACAAGAAATGTACATTGTTTTCCGCTCTCTCTCTGTCTTTCAAAAAGTCTTGCACTATTCTTGAACAAAAATAGATCTCAGCTCATATCTAAATTCTAGTCGCGATCTATAGTTTTCGATTTCTCTAAAATACTTTCAAGCCTCGAACAAAAATTGATACAAAATTTCTCAATATACAAAACTTCAGTCTTAATTCACAACACTTGATTCATCAAAAATACTTTCTAGGAATTCAAAAAGTAAACAAATATCTAATGTCTAAAAGCTTTTTGTTTATTCTTTAATTTGAATAAAATAAAATTTTTATTTCATTTATTATTTTAAGAAATGTCTTGAATGTGCAGAATCATATTGTGCTGCATGTTTTGCACATTTTCATTTACGTGGTGCTTTACAACGTCATCGTTGTGTATCATTAAATGAAAGTCGACCAGCAACACCTCAAAAGAAAAAACCACCGTAAAAATTTAATTAATAATTTTTCATCTTTTCTTTTTTTTTTTCTATTCTAGTATTGGTGCCGATGTTATTTTTAAAGAATTACGTTTTGCACAATCAAAAGATGATTTTTTTCAAAAATCTGGAACAACAACAGATAATTTTGATTATAATGATGATGATATTCAATCGGAAGAAGGTGAAGGTGGACAATTACTTAATGGTAATTATGATGAAAAAATTAGTGCTGCATCATTTCAACAAGCTCTTAAACAATGGAGACAAAGTGGTGATAAGAAAAAATCTAATAAAAAAAATAATCGATTAAAAAAATCTAAATCAACACATGAAGTAGCTGTTGATACGGTATATGATACAGATTCAAAATTAAATCAAATACTAATGCCAAATATTGAATTTCATTCATCTAAATTAACTTATGCAGAAAAACTTTTAGTAAAAAAATATCGACGTTCAAATAAAAATAATCAAGAATTTTTTAATCAACGAATACCAATAACAAATAGAACGCCAAGAGAAAAATCGAAAAATATTCAAGATATTCAAGTCAATCGTTCACTTCCTCATAATTTAAATTTAGAAGATACAAATATTGAAGTTGAAGTAAGTTTAAATATATATATATAATTGCTCATAAAATTATTCGACCAGATTTTGTTTTTTTGTACAGAGAATTTTTATTTTCGAAGATGAAAATAATTTCTAATTTTTTCAAGGATAGAATCTTTCAAAAACTTAATTAATCTTTATATTCGTATGAGTACTTATAAAAGAAGAAAAAGTTCAAAAATAAAATAGGTCGAATAATTTTGCGAGCTATTTTATATCTATATTAATAGATAATATATTTTATTGTATGATTTAGCCTCTCTATGATGATATGTCAACAGTACGAGTCGACGAAAGGTAATAAAAATCGATTTCACCAAGTAAACGAGTTTTAACGATCTATAGAAACGAATAAACTATAAATATTTTTGTATTTACAAATACGGTACATTTATAGATAGTATGACGTAGTTGAGACTAGGGGTCGACAAGCTCAGCTAAGTTCCGCTCAGAGGAACTGTTCGAACAGCTCTTTTGAGCTGAGCTGAACTAGTGAACCGGTTCGTTTGAGCTGTGAGCTGTGTTCCCAAAACAGAACACTTTTGTTCCGTTTTCGGGAAATAATTCCCATAACAGAACAAAAGTGTTCTTCTTTTGGGAAATATTTCCCATAACAGAACAAAAGTGTTCTGCTTTTGGGAAATATTTCCCATAACAGAACAAAAGTGTTCTGTTTTGGGAACACAGCTCACAGCTCAAACGAACCGGTTCACCAGTTCAGCTCAGCTCAAAAGAGCTGTTCGAACAGTTCCTCTGAGCGGAACTGAGCTGAGCTTGTCGACCCCTAGTTGAGACATGCTTTTTTTACAAGTATTTGCAGATATAATCTAATCGGAGTCGTTTTCAATTTGTATTGGTATTCTTAAATTTCAAAAAGTGCATGATTTTTAATGGTTTACTTGACTAAATGTTCTATAGAAGAGTCTCACGTTTCCAATCGATCGAAAATTTTCTCTGAAAAATATCAAAACTTACGAATTCTTTCGTTATTTTTTGAGAAATGAAATTTTTGATAAACTTTAAGATCGAAAAACTTGAATCCGATGACTTCTATATTCCATTGAGATCGATTTTTATTAGTAATATATTTTGAACAAAATAATCTTTAATCTTATTTATCAAGATAAAATTTTCTTGTATTTTTAGTGCACGAACAATTACTGCAGAAGAAACTCATAATAATAATAATAATGAAAATATTGATAATTTTGATCATGATGAAGAAGATGAAGAACTTATGCGGTTAAAACAACAAGAACGAACTAAAAGTCGTACATCAAAAAAACCAATATCACGTCCAAATAGTTCTGCAATGAGAAAAAACTCTATATCATCAAGACCAAATTCAGTAGCACTTTTTCAACATCCTCTGTATGAAATAAGTTTTCTTTTTTTTATTCAGAAAGAAATATCTTTTTTATTTAATTATTTTAGACCTTCATTATTAACAACAAATCCAAGTGATGAACTTAAAGCAATTGTTGATTCTCAATCAATACCATCACGACCATCATCAGCTGCTTTAAAAAAACCATCAAAAATTGATTGTCGACGTATGTATTAGTACACAAAAAAAAAAGAAAGACTTTGTCGAATTGCGTGACTTATCTTGAACCAGGATATCATGCATGTGATTTTGTAGAGCGATCAACGTTTCACTAAATGGTATAAAAGAAATCAAGTTTTATGAAAATTTTCATGTGCCCATTAATAGAAAAAATTTTTTTGGTCTTCTGGCAGACCCCCTGGGATGAGGTACAGATGTATGGAAAATTCATCTTTTTAAATGAATATAAGATATCTATAGATTCTTGTAGAGTTTCATGCAAAAATCAAACTTAAACATTTGAAAAATAATAATAGAAATAAAAAAAACTTCTTTACTGAAAGTCTGTATCCGTACTCATCTTTAACATTCTAATGGTTAAAATATCGTTTTTTCATTTATAAAAGGGTTGTTTATTCCAGCTCATTAGGGATATTATGTTGATTATCTGTCATATGATGTCTTCTATGAGTACGTGCAGAATCTCAATTAAGGATCAGCATAAGAGATATAGGAAGTATAGAAAATATTACACGAACACACGCGCTGACACTTAATTGAGTTCTCAAGGAAATTTTGAAAAAATATTTTATCTTACTGGTACATAAAAACTTTGAATAGAACTGTTGAGTATGGTTAAAATATGATCATATACCGGTACCTACATATAAGAAAATAAGCTTTTCAAAGGGATAATCTTCCAATTTGACAATGAGTCTATGCTGTGCAGGAAGGTCTTATCTATGAAATATATCGAGTTTAATAGTGAGCAATTTTGAGAAAGATGCACGTTAGTACTCACATATTTTGTAACATAGAATTAAATACATGGGAATTTTAAGTAGTCAAGAAATAATCAAGACCTTAACACAATGAACCATTTTTAAGTCTGAAGAAAACGATGATGAAAATTATTTATTGAAGAACACCTACTATTGAATAAAATTTTGAGAAAACTTAGTTTTTTTTAATATACTATTCAATTTGCTGCAAATAACTCGACAAAATCGCAGATAGATACATCATAAAATTTGAGTTAGATCTTTTAATTACTAAATAAACTTATGATTTTTAATAGTTCCAACAATGTGGAATCGAAATTGGAAACCTGAACAAAGTATTTCAGATGGTATTGAAGTGAAATTAATTAAAATCGATCAACATTCTATTAATCAATTTGATTCAGCACTTAATGATTTACTTGATGAAACAAAAATTGAATTAGCTAGTAGATCAAATAGTTCAATTGAAACAAAACGTCCACCAACAGCAACTATAATTCCAATAAGTGCTCGTTCAGAAAAAGATAAATCTGTTAATACACCAACACAAACACCAACATTAACACCAACACCGACACCTCGTCGAAATTCTCCATTTCATTTTACAAATTTATCTCGTAAAATAGATTCATCATCTTCACTAGATACAGGTGAAGGTGGATTTTTTACTGATGTTACTCCACGAAAAGTTTCTAAACCACCTACTCCACCTCCTGTTGTTCCACAATCACCATCCAATGAATGGAAACAATTATTAAAAAATCGATCTGCTCGTTCATCAATAGAACAACGTCCTGTAATACCTAATTTAATGTCATTACGTAAAGCATCTATTGGAAGTTTAACACGTGCACCACCAAAACGTTCAATAACTATTGATGAAGCTCATCATCAAATGGATGATCAAAGTCGACCACCATCATCTCTATCATCAGCTTCACTTCCTGTTTCAATAACATCATCAAAACCTGATTTTATTACACGACCATCAATTGAACGACATCCAAAAGTTATTCCACAACCTCAACCTCCACCTCCACCACCAACAACAACAACAAAAAAATTTCGTGTCGAATATCCAAAGAAAACTTCTGCAACAACTGTTGTACCAATGGTAATTGAAGGTAAAAAAGTGAGATCAGCAAAAAATTCAGCACGTGATAATGATGAATATTTACAACAATCAATGAATTCAACAAAAAATAAAATAACATCAAGTAGTGTACAAAAATCTCAAAGTTTATTAAAAACAAGTTCAACGAGTTCAATGACAACAATTACTCGTGATGATAATGTTTTAAAAGATGAAAGTATGACAATAACAGATTTACCTTTAAATAAAAGTATGAATCGTCGATCAACAAATATCGATCGAGAACCAACAAGATCAAGAAAAATCGAATTTTCAGTTAGAGATGGAGTCAAATGGAATCAAACATCATCTGAGTAAGAAAATAATTAGTTTTATGATTGAAAAATAGTTATATTTGATAAATCATTGGATTGTATTCAAACATTTAAATTTATTTTTTAATAATAGAAGATAGAAAATATCATAAGACGATTTTGTTCGTTCTGCATAAGACAAAGGGTTCTTTTTGTCTTATTTAAAACTAGAAAACTTTATTGTCTGATAAACAATTTGATATTTTCTATGATCTAAGTGGATTTCACAACGACTTGTATAAAATGTTTCTTAGTCTAGAAAATCAGCATATAAAGTTTTAAAGAGATTTCTCATAGTTATATATCGGAATCAGCATAGCCGATACCCTCATAGACTATTAGCTTTTGGTGAGAAAATGATTGATCAATTACTATTAATAATAGTGAAAAATCACGACAAGTTTCACTATTTTGTAGACTAGAACTTCATTGGACCGTGATCAGTAAAGTCGCTAAGGCATCCTGCAGAACTTTAGATGTTCTCTATTGTAGAATGTATTTTAACTTTAACTAATATCACGAAACTCTTGCCATATAATATTCACTCATGTTTCGACCATTTACAGATAACTGATTAGAATCAGAGGTAGTTAATTAGAATCGAACTTTTTCATTCTTCTTGAACATGTATGCAAAATTTCCTTCTAGAATAAGATTGAATAACTATCATCAGATCGTTACAAAGGGATCAACATAGTGATTCTAGAGAAAAATTTGTTCTACAAATAATGATACAACGGTGAGTGCATGATGAAACTACGATGATCTTACATTTATGTCGACTTTTTCTAACGTTTTTCTTGAAATGATCTTTCCGATCGAACAAATAGAAAGCAATCCGAAATCATCATAGTTTTATTATGTATTTGCTGTTTTTGTCGTTAATGTATACGCATATGTTTAGAATAGTGCACCGTTACATTCTTACTTACTAAGCATGTTATTTACGATTCTACATGAAAACTAGATCTTTGATAACAACGCATCGATGAGATATCAGTTAATGTAATATATTATTCTGTACAAAATGAAGTACTCTACAATAATGTTGAGATGAAGTGATTTCAAGTCACAAGGTAGAAACTGCACCAAAACAGCTATGTCGGTTTGTATACACGCAGTTTTGAACTTTTACAGAGAATTTAGTCATTGTTGTTCAATCTTATTTCAGTTAGAAATCCTGAGCATGTAGTTAGAAGTCGAGAAAAATCTTGATCAATTAGTAACTAGTTTTAGCACTAACCAGTTAATCCAAAATAAGAATGAGTCAATATTTTGTGCCAAGACTTTCATACTATATGTTATCAGAAGAAAGTCATAGGCATCCAAAAAAATTTGTTTCAATTCTCATTCTCGTTAATATTCCTTTTATTTTAGATCCACATCTCATAAAGTAGTTTCATCTTCTGGACCTCGTCGATCTTCAAAATTCAATACTCCTCGACCATCAACACCATCAAATCCAACAAATTCAAGTAAAAAAAACCAACAATCAATAAATAATGTCAATGATAATAGAAATTATATTTTCTTTAGAAGTTGCTCAACAATTTAGTACATATGATAATGATGATGGACGATCATCACGTGCATGTCAAGATGTTGAAGATGAAGAATGTTTTAATCAACTTCGTGAAGAACTTTGTTCAGAATGTTTGTCGAAAATTTAAACTTAGATATTTATTAATTAATCATATATTTTATTTTAGTGGGTATGGCAAGTCCAGGTTGGGATGCAAGTTTAAGTGAACATGTATTGAAAAATCTTCGTGGTACTGAAATACCATTTAGTGAAAAAGATTTGCAAGATAATTTAACAATGCTTGAAATAAAATTACGGTAAAATTTTTTTCTTTTTTATGAAGAAAAAAAAAGAGTTTCTTTTCTTTTTTAAATCATTTATAGTGAAACTGAATCAATTCAACGATCACAAACAGATGATGATTTATCAGTACATGAAGAAATTCGAAATTTATAAACAATTTTAAATAATCTGCTTCGTTGACCTTATTTTCTTTTCTATTTTACTGACCAGTGATCATTACTTCACAAATGCTAGTAGAATGCATGTTGATATTTTTTTTTCTCCTTTTCACTTAATCGACTTATTTGATTGATTAAAAAAAAAGCAAAATTATTAATAAAAGAAGAAATAATAATTGTGTAAAATTATAAACAAAAAACAAAAAAGGTTTAGATTAAAAATTTAAAAAGTAATCGATGCAATCATAATCAATCTATTTTGATTAGAAAATGAGTTTACGATGAACTTGAATTCTATTGCGAATTATTATAATAATAGGAGTTCAAATTGCTGATTTGACCGTTAGCCAAATAGTCCTTTAGAACTATAATAAAATTTTCACAGCAAATGAGTGCCGTTGTATTTGACTCAAGCTTTGTAGCATCGGTCTTTGGAAATATAAGAATTTATAACTATCATTTGTATAGTGGCGTAGCAGACATGTCTCAGGGGACTAAGTCCTTCTCCTAGTGTGAGCATGCAGGTGGATATCATGTCAAAAGGCTTGCTAACAGCCCCGGTAACGTTAAAATGTAGAACTCACATGTGTTTTTTATTTCTACATTTCGAACAGGACTTTTATTTTCTTTTTTCATTTGTTTTGGTGCTATGCTCATAGTATTTATTTTCTTTTCATAACTTACTATTATTAGTCTTAGCATTAGTTTGATAGATGAATAAGCCTGTTGTATACATTCGTCATATATACATCTGGTCTTAACGATCTATAAATGTATCTCATAAAACTCTGAAATACTGATATTAATTATTTCCGAAAACTAAAACTTCATTAGTTCATACTTTTGTGTTAGTTATATCATTGTGTATCCGCGCAAAAATCTGAAACTGTGTTATTAAGAATATCGAAAAACGTATTCTAGCCATTGATAATTCAAGGAAGGTTCTAGAGTCTTCTAAGGCTTTTTTTATTAATATCATTCAGCACCTTTATTCTTAGGTGCTAAGGTCTTTAATAGAGAGGAAGGATGGAATGGAGAACTACAAAATTTCAACTTGAAACTTACACTCACTATTTTCTTCAAAATAATATATGTGAGTTCTACAAAATTGAAGGTGCACTTTATAATGGTTTATAAGGAAGGATAACAGACAAGCCAGCGACAATTTCTTTTTTGTTTGAATTGTAACTTTTCCAGCAGCATGACGTGCAAGCAAGTTGAATCATAGGTTATATCATAGCGCATTAAACACGGTACAAAAAAAAATATTTACTTTCTGTTTAAACAAGTCTAAACTCAAATATTAGTTATTCGTGTAACATCTATTTTCATCATGTCAAGTCTCAAAAATATTCAAAAGAATACGTAATTTCCGAGAAAAAATAACTGTGAAGATATGTCAAGAATATTCTATTCTTCAATAAATATGACTGCAAGCGAAACTTTATTACTATCCCATAATGCACTTATTTTTTTTTATAGAGAACTCACAGACCAGTATGCATAGAAAAATCACATTTCTTTCAGTTGACTTGATAATCAAGCCAACGGATAGAGATACAGTTCTAACCAATATCTGATAATTTCATGGCAGGTAATCAATAAGAGCTACTCTCAATATAGGATAATTACAGTATGATATGATTGATCGTACTAGATAGGAAATATCGAGAACAACTGGTCAGATGCTGACATTTCACCGATAATCTGCATAAAAAGAAGAAAAAACTCGATATCAAAAATTTGTTTAGTTTTGAAAAGCTTGCCAGTAAAAATACTGAACATATGCGAAAAACAGGTAAGTGTTACTTCTCTTCAAGCTAATACTAACAATATATAATAGATTACTACAAAATTCACAGTGAAACATATGCATAGAAGAGCATATATGACCGATGGTATAGGAAAAATCTACCTTTCCGTACCTTAATGATATTTCTTTTGATTTTCTACAAAATACTATAGTTATTACCAATCTGAACAATATTCGTCATTTTCCAGATCATCCCTCAAAGACAATGAATTAAGATGATCAACTTTTTAAAATGACGTTTTTTTTGTGGAACTTTTTTGACTACATGTTTAAGTTATTTGTTAAAAGTGTCATACAATCTTACTTTTCCTCAACAGATACAAAAAACAAATTCAATCTCAATTGAATGTTCTAATATGCATGTTAATCTACACTATTCGGTTAGTGATTGTCTCTATCAATCAAAGTGAGAAATCGATTCTGAGATTACTTTTGTGCTAATTGATTGAAACAAAACTTTGCGTCTACTACTGATATGTCCTGTTTGCTACAAATGGTCTTTTTTCGATCAAGGAAGATGAGATCACACTTGATACAAATGAAGTGATCATTCAATGACGTTCAAATATGTTCATGAGATCTTCAGAAATTATAGAACATATCAATAGTACAGTGCAAAATGTTACATCTATCAGTTAGCATAAAAGTGATCTCATCATAGATTTTTCACTTTGATCGATAAAAACAATTAGCAATCGAATAGTTTAGATTAAAATGCATTGGACCATTCGATTTGGATCGAATTCGTTCATTATATCACTTCAGTAAAAGAAACCTTGCAAGACACTCTTAACAAAGAACTAAAACATTTGATTACAAAAATTCGACAAAAAATAATTTTAAAAACTTAAGCATCTTAAGCTACGGTTTCAGGAATGATCTAGAAAATGACGAATATTGTTTACATTAGTAATAACTATACTATTTTGTAGAAAATCATAAATATTATTAAAATATGGAAAGACACATACAAAAAAAAATTAGCACAAAACTTTATAAGTTCTGTTGATGAGTGTGGAAGAAGAAATCTTAGGACGAATTTGAAGAACTCTTTCTAGGCACACAAGAATACAAATTCGGATCAATTCTAAAAGTGTGAAATCGCTTAGAACGCAATCGGAATTGAAGAGTCAACAAGAAGAAAAAATGGCAAATTGTACCACTTTAAAGCCTGAAAATTTAGTGGATTTTTCGGGATTCGTAAGCCATTCTGACTATATCTTGAAGCTAATCATCTTAGTTATGAATTTCCAAAAATTGCATTAAAGATCGTATTCCTAATTCGTTTCGTATCTCATTCAGGTTATAAAACAAAATTTCAAAAAAAAAAGCACGATATTGAGTTCAAAAATAATATTCTAATTTTTATGCTTGTGCTAAAATAAGTTAATCATAACTTATTTTAGCAAGTATATCTCAATTTCAGCTCTAAATAATATCGATTTCTACTAATCTCATCGAATACACAGGCAAAAACATATCTGAACTGTTTCAGATTGCAATCTATGCTTTTTCTGGCTGTCATAGAATGGATGCCAGAAAAATATTCAATCTTTTCATTGAACCTAGTACTGTAAAACGTATTGATTCATCAAAGTCGGCCAATTATGTTAACTATTTTTGCTAACACTTTTCTCTCCTGAAAAAGAAGTGGAGTGGTTAGCCAGAATCATATGCAGTCGAATAATATGAAAGAAATCATATCCACATCAATCTTATGTATTCATAGAAATTCTTACAGTTCTTGAAACCTAGCTTTTAAATAACGATTCTATAGAAGAAAACGCAGTTTAAAAACAAATATTTTCGTTCTAATGTTGAATATCATCTCATTCATATGAATGAAGCAAAAAAAAGAAAGAATAATTGTTTAATATGATAATTTCCATATGAAATGAATTAAGGCGCTAATATCTATTTTCGTTACAAGTCCATATTCAGGCTAACGAATGAAAGTAAATAATTTTCCTTTTTTACAAAAAAAAGAGCATTATGTATCTTGTAGAATCATTGAAACTCTCGACCATAGTTGAATATTTGGTTGGATCGAATTTCGCGTCCATATTTTACCATATGTAAAATAGCTTTGGTAACTTAATAAATATTCCTACGTCTTTCCAACAAAAGCCATTGCAATACTATTGCATCATTTTTATGATTGTATTTCGTGATCTTTTTTCTTTTTAAGATATAATAATATGTCCTGCTTTAGATTAGTAAACATTCGTCATTTTCTTCAACGTTCTTATCATACTAATACAATTCAACTTTTTTTTAATATGGAAACTATTCAAGAAAAAGCTAAATTAGCTGATGAACGTATTCAACAATTAAAATCACTTATTGCAACTATTGGTACGCGTAAGTAAATTTTATTTTATTAGACTTAATTGAATAGTCTCTTTTTTTTTATTCTATAGGACAACTTGATCCTGAAATATATATTAATGTACTTCAAGAAGAAAATACACGATTAAAAACACGTGTACAAACTCTTGTTGATGAATTAATTACATTAGAAAATCAACGAGGAGGTAGATTATATTTAGACTAACACAAAAAAACAAACATAGATCTTCTTATTATTTTTTTAGTAACACAACAATATGATTTTGTCAACAAGGTTCCTAAGGCTCCTACTCAATCAGTTACTCAACCAAAAAAACCAGTTGAAGTTCCACAACCACGGACTAAAGCTGCTCCTGCTGCTGCTGCTGCTGCTGCTAGTAGTGATCAACAAGAAGCTAAAGATAAAAAAGACAAGAAAAAGAAAGTTACTAATGAAGGTTGTATAACACTTGAAAAAAAAACAAACGATTATATTATATAGAGTTTTTTTTTAACATTAATAGAAAAACCAACGAAACCAGTTGCTAATACTGCAACTGATATAACACGATTTGATTTACGTGTTGGAAAAATTGTATCAGTTGAAAAACATCCTGATGCTGATTCTTTATATGTTGAAAAAATCGATGTTGGTGAAGAAAAACCACGAACAGTATTTAAAATTTAAAAAAAGAGTATACATAACTTATTCAAAAGAAATTCATTTTTCTTATTTAGGTATGTAGTGGTCTTGTTAAACATTTACAAACTAGTGATGTAAGTTATATAAAAATTTTATTTTCTTCTCTATCAATAAAATTATTTTAGCTTGATCAAAAACTTGTTATTGTTTTATGTAATTTAAAACCAGCAAAAATGCGTGGTATTACATCTGAAGCAAGTAAGTTTGAAGAATTCAAATTATCCTAAACATTATTATATATATGTATTCTATATTATATAGTGGTTATGTGTGCATCAACACCAGATAAAGTTGAAATACTTGAACCACCAAGTAATAGTAAACCAGGTGATCGAGTTCAATGTGAAGGTTATGATTGTTCATCACCGGATGCTCAAATTAAAAAAGAATTATGCGATCAAATTTTACCAGATATGACTACAAATGATAAAGGTGAAGCAACATTTAAAGGAGTTTTATGGAAAGTAGCTAATGTTCAAGGTCTTATTAAATCGAAAACTCTCGTTAATGTACCTATTAAATAATATAATAAAAACAAAAATCAAGTTTTGTTGTTGTTTTAATAGCAAAAATGTTTTTATTATCATATTGTTAAAACTGGTTTTTTTTTCTCCGATTTGACGAAATAAAGAAAAAAAGAGATAATATGATGAGACGTTTTAAATAAATATGTTTGATTTTTCTATACACGTCGAAAATAATTAATTTTATTATGTGATAAATACGAATAATATTGAAAAGATACATCATTGTTAAATCATCTTTAGCAAAGTTTCTTGAGTGTTAATTATTTCAAATTTAAGACAAGAATAACTTGTATTTGTGATTACGCATACAAATCTTCACATATACAATCTATTTAACATTTCTGATTATAACTTTTAAAGAATTTTCTTTTTCTTTTTAATTGTAATAATTCAGTTTTCTATAGTAAAAAGTTATAAACATATATATCTATCCTTTTTAACAATTGAAATCTTCCATTATTAATTAATATAATCTATAGATTATGTTTTATTTATTTCAAAAAAAAAATTATTAAACAATTTTTAGATTCTCTGTTTTTGTTTCATTTTAAATATAAAAATCTATTTTATGACTTCTACATTCTGTTCGAGAGCGCCATCTATTAAAAAAGCAACTAGATACAATTATTTTCAATTGTCTATAAATATTATTTATTATCTAGATAAAATATATTAGAAAACTTGTGCATGATAATATTAATTAATTTTTAAAGAGGCAATTAATCTTGATATATGGTAGTCATTTTTTTTTTCTTCATTAAACACGTCCATCTTCTTCTCTCTTTCATACATACCCTTCTTCCTCTGTTTAGGTTGATTTCTTCCTTTTTTTTTTCCTTTCTTTTCTTCCAACCAACTCTCAGTTTTTTCCTTATCTTTATCGTTTTCTTTGCCTTGTTTTGACTGTCTAAGACAATATCCAGCACTTGAGAATTCTTTTTTTTTTTTCATGTAACATTCTATTTTCAAGTAGTGATACATCAATGAACTATTATTTAGTCTCAAATTTAATTTAATCAAAACAAAATGTCTGATATATTTAAAACTAGATATATATGTGGGTCTTAGTTTGTTTTTTTGTTTGACTATAAGAAAGCTGGTAGATAAAAAAAAAAAAAAAGAAGCAGTTTCATCTATATATAGAAGCGAATAATAACAAAAAATATATTCTTCTCTCTTTCTTATATTCGATAATATGAGACAATAAACAAATAGAGTAATGGAGCTGCTTCATCGTCGACTCGATTGTGGATGGGTATTTATTTCTTTCTCTCTCCCTCTCGTCTCGTTTCTCACTAACGTTCTTTTGCTTGCTTACGATTAGACAAGCCAGACGGGGATGTTGTGTATATGTGCATCCCTTTCTCATACCCTCTTTCTTTCTTTCTTTCTTTTTTTTTTTTTTTTTTTTTTTTTTTCTTTATTCAACCTACAAGAAAGAAACAGCGACAATGCACATTTTTTTTTCATCCCTTATTCGTTCGTCTTAGTATATATAACAGCAACATCGTCAGATGGTCGGTTGCTGTTATTTTACTTATTAAATTTAGCTGTCTTTTGTTATGTTGACATTCATACGACGAATTCTACATTTTTTTTCTTTTTTCACTCGTCTGATGTACGTGCATGTTTACATATGCATTGTTCTCTTGGCGTCAAGAATAGAAGGAAAAAAGACAAACATTGCTTGTATGCAAGCATGAAATAGAAAGAGAATGGCTATGTGCAAAAGAATGCATATACATATATACACGCACACTTGTTTCATCAGTTCAAGTATCTGTCCGGTGAGTTGAACCCTATTCTGTTGTATTGGCTTTCTTCATGTTGTTTTTCTTCTTTCCTTCCTATGTCGTTCGCATTCTCTGTCGTTTACTTGACACAAACGGGCATAGTAGTCATATTACAGAAGAGCGCAAAACGGACGATACATGTGTTCAGGCAAACGCATTGAACAAGTAAAAGAGGAAGAGAGAAAAAAAAAAGAAACTGAGTCGTCGATTTTTGACAATTCTAACATAGTTCATAGAAAGGGCGATGCCATCATCATCCATATGACTTCTTTTTTTTTTATTCTTCTTTTCTAGATCATCATCTCTCTATTCATATTTGCTTAATATTTCGTTTTTTTTTTCTTGTCCATGCTTGTCGATTGATCTCTCTCTCTTTCTCTCTCTCCCGTTTTTTTTTTGATTTCGACATTTGACAAATACACACACAAGATAAGAGAAGAAGAAACAAAAAAAAAAAAAAAAAAAAAAACTCAATAGGGAGAGATCATACATACATACATACACCTATTGTCTTTCACATCTGTCATTGGCATTTGTTCAAAACAAAACAAAAAATCTTTAATACAAACAGTGGTCTTTACTCTGTGATCAACGATTTTACTCGTGTGATAAACGAGTATATCCGTTTTGTTTATTTTTTCTTCTAAACGAAATCAAAAGCACACACATACAACAATATATCAAACATAAAAAATTATGATGATGACCATGGATCAACCTTGTTCTGGTAAGATGATAAATCAAATAAAATAGAAAATAATTACTAAAAATTTTTATATAGGTTTCGGTGATTTTGGTAATTATTCTTCATCTGATCCATTTACAACGAATCAATCGACATCATCACCTATTAATACTGATCCAGATGTTGATTGGAGTGTATTTGAGAATGCTGGTAAACAAAAAAAATAAATTTATTTTTACAAATTGTTTTTTTTTTTTTTTTCTAGAACGATATTTATTACGTGATGATAGTGCATGGATAACACGTTTGAGTAAAGATTTTTGGTGGAATCTCGAACGTATATCTGAAATGATAACATCTGACTATATACCTAATGTTCAACAAATAAATAATAATGGTACATTTAATCGATCATCATTACCTACACAAAAATTTCCACAACAACAACAACAACAACAATTTATGCAATCAACTATACCAACAAAAACTTATTCACAACAACAACAACAACAAGTACCTTCACCAATGCAATTTACTGGTGTACCACCACGTAAAATAGTTGGTCAACGTACACAACAACAACAACAACAAATATTAACAAATAATAATTCATATAGAAATAATTCAATGTTTAATAATGGTTTTACATCACCACCACCATCATCATCATCATCATCATCATCAGGTTCAACTATTGTTCGACCACCAACAACAACAACTAATAATAATCATATGATGAATTCAAATATTAACATTCCAGATAAATCAAATTTTTTTCAAGCTTTTTCATCAATGTCAATTGCTAGTAATGGTGGTAATCATGATCAAGATATGGAATATAATCCATTTCAATCAAAAATATCTTTTGATAATAATATGTGGGGAAATAATTCCCAACAACCAATCCCGTGGCAATAAAATAATATATATATATATATATAAGAAATATTATATAGACAACACAACAAAAGAAAATATATACAAAGTCAGTCAAACGTATCTCATACTTTTCCTAACCTGCCCATTCTTCTTTTTTGTTCTTTCTTTCGTTTGTTCGATTTTTGACAAAAAAAAAAAAAAAAAAAAAAAAAAAAAAACAAAACTTTGCGCACTTTTTTTTGTTTTTCTTTATCTCTCTCTCTCTTTTTCCTGTGATTTATTCTACTACAATTCTTCGTTCTAATAGTAGTTAGCCGTGTGCGTGTGTATCTTTTGCAATAATAGAGTGTGTGAGAAATCTTCTTCCATACCAAAAACATAAAAACCTACAAAAAAAAAAATTTAATTTTCTTTTTCTTTTCTAAATTGAACAGCAAAATTTTCTTTCTTATTTCATGTGCTGCTGCTACTACTACTACTGTATTATTATTATTATCCACATTTTTGCTGATGATAGGATGTGTTGTCCGTCCTTCGAATGACGCGTTGGGTCTCTCGAGTTCCTTCCATTGTCTATCGAAATGATAATGTTGACTTTAGATATATATGTAAAACCCTCTTTACTAATTTCTTCTGCACAAATGTCTGATGTCGGTTCTTGATTTTTCATTTTCTGTTCATTGCGCAATAATTTTCTTCATTTGGCTTTTATTGAATGCACAAAACAAAACAAAAAAAAATGTTTGTTTTCTCTTCTTCTTCTTCTTCTTTTTCACAACAGTGAAATACAACGACTAGATCAATGGATCTCATGACAAAAATAATGACGACGAAATAAAAAAAAATATAATTGTGCGTGTGTGCGTCTTACGATAAAAAACAAAAAAAAAAAACTTATACATATATTGTTTACAGTGATGCTGCGAACAAATATACACACTGTATTCTATCTTATCGTTGTGTGCTAGTCCTCTTGTGTTTTTTTTTTTGCTCTTTTTTTTCTCTTTTATTTCCCATGCTGACCATGTCCGGTGTTTGTTTATCTCGCTTCCAGTAACATGCGTTTATCTATTTGTCCCATATATCAATACCATCATCATTATCATCAGGGATTGAAGCTTGTTCAGTCAAAACAGTGAATAGACGTTTTTTTTTCTTTTTCTTTGTCCCTTAGTCGTTTTCCATTAGAAGCCAAAAAAAAATGCGAAAAGTACATAGAAAGCCTTTCGTCTCGTTAGAAACGAAACAAAAGAAGACTAATGCAAACACTTCTTTCTTTTTCTCTCTTTCTCTTTGTTTTGAATGCTCATTTTCTTTCTTTGTCGTTTTTTTTTTTTCTGTCTAAAATAATAACTCAGATATTTCTTGTTCTTTCGACATAAACATATATAAATTAGAAAAATAGAAAAAAATATATATATATCAATCAATCATACGTCGATAAATAAATAGCAAACGAAATATAATGAAGAGCTAAATAGTTGGATTTTGTTTTGGTCTACTTATCTTGTTTACTCTCTCTCTCTCTCTTTGGTCCGGTGTGTGTTTGTCTCGTTTTCTTTTTGTGCGTTGGGTGCTTGTTTGAACATGCGTGAGATATCGAGTTTTACGCTATTCTCCATCTTTACCTTATTGCACAT